TGAAGCGGTAAAGCAGCCAATACTGCTTTAATGGATTGTTCTTGGAAGCTTTACTGATGATTTCTTTGTCTTTTTTCCTTTTATTTTGTGAAATAAAGGGGCTAGAAATGTCAGATATATCCTAGTTTATCTTGTCACCTGACTTCCATCCTTGCTTCTGTCATGATAACTATGCTTGCTAGAGGTCTGTGTTGCCCCCTTTTGTTTTCAATGATCTGATTGGATGATAAAACATTGTAGTTTGTGTAGCAGGCCGCTTCTGACTCACATATACGAGGGTACAAAACATTCAAACTAAGCCTTCAGACTTCAGGGACCAGTGTGTATCTTCAAATTTCTTTAAAAAATGTGTAGTTTCGAAGCCTAGGAAGACAAAAACTGATGACATAATTTGTCCTGGACCTTATCTGATAACTCAATAAAGTGTGCCTTTAAATGCACTGCATGCTGTTATAAATATGACTACACCAACAGGTTGATAACCCTTTTGGTCATGCTTGCATATATGCATAACAGTGGGTTTTTCATCCTCCAAGGTCCCATTTGTGCATAAACAAAATATTCCACATGCATGTATGCATACATTTCCCGAGCACATGTGTGAGGTATATCGCTCCATGCATGTGTACATCTACATCAAGTACAGCACTGAATCAACATTATATCAGCGGTGCGGGCACATTACATCACTCCACAGTCAGATCCATAAAGGGCTAAGAGCCAATTCATTTTGAGAAAACACCCTCTATTGATCCCTGCTGCACTCCATCACTTCCACTGTAACAGTTACCACAATCCATAGGCTAACCTGACACCAAATCTGTGTGTGTGTTTATGTCTCCCACTGTGTGCATTAACATAATGTCAGCACAGTTGGAGGAATGCTTGTCATGTTAACTCCTGAATAGTTTTTAGTTTTGTTCGAAACATATGACTTACTCCCTGCAGCCAACTGGTGTAAACTGGGTTGCTATAGCAGCCTCTAGTGGCCTCCAACCAATCCTCTGCAGACAGGTACGCTTTTATAAAACATGCATGCATCTAATGTTTTTTTTTCTGTCTGGGTGCAGCCAGAAGAGACATTAAGGTGATACTTTACCACCTGCAAAAAGCATTGATTTTGGGTGTGCTTTTGGGAGTGGTGTATTTTCACAGTACAACATTTTTGTACAGTGAGGTCAGGTTCTTATTCCCCTATTCCCAATGCAACATGTCGGGACTCACTGAAAACAGCCAGCAGGCAGGCACAAGCACACATACTCTTTATTTCCCAGAGAAATGCACTCGTGGAAAAGGCTATTTAGGCCAGCGTGGGACAGTAAATCTCATTACATCTAATGATGTTAGCAGCCTTTACCAATATAACATTTGATATACATACACTGACAAATGCAAGATCTCCACCAACACACCAAAGAAGTTCAAATATTTTGGTTGTACTAGATATACTGTTTGGACAAGATGGAAGAGAAGAAAAGAGAGAATTCCACATCTGCAGGCCCCTCTTCTGTCGCTGGAGAATCCATCACATTAAAGCTTTAATGCTAAAATAACAGAGCATCCATCAAACTGAACGCCAGCCGAGAATTCAGCGAGTACTCTGCAGATCCCTGGGCGGGGTACATGCCCACCGTAGCCACATTTGGACGATATCGCTCAAGGTGGAAGGTGAGCATGTGATAAATACAAGGAGCAATGAATAGGGTTTCCATGCATATGCTGAGAGAAGCAATCTACAGGGTGAGAATAGGGAGCCATTCAGCGGACAGTTTTCCCATCACCCTCTTCTCTTTTGGCTGTCTGCAGTACTGCCTGATGTGAATTTATTGCCCTGGGGGACATTAGGTAAATGAATAGCGAGGCAAGTAAACAGTAAATGTACAGGAGAGGAGAGGAAGGGTAAGGAGACAGGGAGAAGCAGACACAAAGCAAGGACATTATATGAAATTTGAGGGAAGAAACGGAAAAGAGGAGACGGATTTGAATAAAAGAAACAGAGAGGAAAGAGACAAGAGGAAATCCAGTTAAATGAGAGGAAAGTGCAGGGGAACCAAGGAGAGCAGAAGAAAAGAGACAAGGGGATAGGAAACTACATTTTTAGGGGAAAAGAGATGAAAGGAAACAAAAGGAAATTCAATGAAATAGAAGGAAAAAGAGGAAAGGACACACTGGGAGACACAGGGAAAGGAGAAGGAATAAGAAATAGAAGGGGAAAGGGAATACAGGAGAGCAGAGAAGCAGAGGGTTACCCTTCCATGGTAGCACCGTAGTGTCACCATAGTAACACACATGGAGAAAAACCTTTACCCATCATTCCCTCCACCTCCCTCTTTGTTTCCCCATCTCTTTCTTAAAAAAAAAAACGCTGCACAATCGCAGTCAAAAGACACACAATATTCCCATCTCCAGTTGTAACCCGGCCCTATCATGTGGGGACCGTGTGAGCCGGGTTGCCATGGAAACTGAACACCTCACAGCGGTCCTTGGAGGGAAGACACAGAGCCTTACCTCTCCACTTTCACCTCCCAGTCGGTCACGTGACCAGCTGTGATGCTGCAGCTGGAGCAGCAGACTCAATGGTCGTCATGCACACTGCAAGAACTTCTGTTGTGAGGCAAAATCCTCGTTTGTTTGATTGTTAAATTAAACAACATGGGTCAGAGAGGGGAAACGCTTATTGCTAGGTAATTTTTTTCGACACTGTATACTTATGAGGAATTGGTCATCAGCCAACTGTTGCAAAATCAGATAAACAAGTGTTTGCAACCTTCAGTGATAATCAAACCAAGTTGATTGTAGGGTAATAAAGAAAGAAGAGGGGGATTTTTCCAATAACAACTGTATACTTTCCTAAGTGAGAAGAAAAGTTTAACATTTGTGCTAGATTTTTGGAGCAAGAACTCTTTATCAAGTAATATCCGTCCGTCCGTTAAGTTGTAAAACCCCATATGAAAAATAATTGGTGCCACTGCAACCACCACCCTTTTCTTTTCCAATAGTACAACCTCTTTTCAAGAATAGTCTATAAATTAGTCCGTATTGTAATTCAACTAAGATTTAGAAAGGTGGCCATACTGGAATCAAGGACTTGATTTTGGAAAATAGCCAAAACAAGTTGAGTTTTACTGAAAACAGGTTGAAATATTCAAAATATAGACGGAAAAAGGATATCTTAATAGTTGTCATAATACATTTGACGATGTAGGTAGAACAGTTAAAGATGTGCCTTATCTTCCTGCATTTCTAAAAACGATAAAACTGGGGTCAAATCTGGAAAAATGGTGCGAAAACCTTCTTCACTATCGATTTAATGACAGTATATGTATGAGAGTGTTCCTAAGAGGGAGAAAATGTCAAACAAAAGGAAATCCTTTCTCTAGATTGAAGAAAAAAAGCCAATGCTGAGAGGACATGCTGAGCTAAAGCTGTGACTGAACGAACATAATGGGTTAGGGATTCATTGCATAGGGTCGAGGAGATATATAATGAGTGTGTGTCTGCAAAGACAGTTACACACACATTTACGCACACATACAAGAGAGTGCGACAAGGGGAGTGTGGTAGGAATGAGCGCGGGTGTAGAGATAAGGAGCTGCGGCAATGGGGCGGGGGGGTTGATGCTGGTGTTGTGGGAGGGTGTCGGGGCTTGGAGAGACGGGCGGCTGCAGCACTATATGTTACGGCGTCACCGCCAGCAAAATCCCATCATCACCACCAGACTTTAAAACACCACCGCTGCCTGAACGGTTCTCATACGCAACAGCAGAGGGAGAGTTACAGCACTGCAACACTCAAGTTTCAAACCTTTCCACCAATATCTAGAATCAAAGCTTTCATGATTCCAACGATGAGGATCAAATTGAAAGATATGAGGGGGCATGAAAGTGTCTTTACTTTAGGATAATATTCTCACAAGGGGACATCATTTTTGAAAAACTGCTGAGGGTGCAGTGCATTAGGCTGATTTGGTCAGTCCTGCCTTAGGATAAGTGCTATTAAAAAAAGCTCTCTCTTTGCTCAAGAGATGCTCATGGCGTTGGGAAAAGGGAAAAAAAATACCCTCCAAAAATGATCACCATTTATCAGAGGATCACCTCGGGCACTGTTTCTGGTGCCCTCACATGTGTGTAAGTGCATGTGTAAGTGTGTGTCAGAGGAAACAGTGCCATTTAGTTATATACATGATTGATTATCAGCTAGAGAGGAGCATAAAGAAAGCAAAGAATTGTGGTCCAGGTTTGGCTAATAACACTGCCTCCGGGGAAACAGACAAAGAAACAGGAGTGTGCGTTCGGCTGATACCATTCAATGAACTCCAATTGGCCTTTGTTGCTCATACACATGTGCCATACGACCAACGGGATATGGCGCAGGGATGAAACCCTCGTCGAAAGCGAAAAAATACAGCATGACGTGCAATGGCTGGAGATGAATGGTTCCCTTTTACGGGAGTACGCAAACCCCCAATAATGGTGCATTACAGTTCTGCAGTTCCGAAAGCAAGGTGACCCTATGTATCAAGAGCAACTACCATTTGTTCCAGGTGGTTGCTGCAAGTGCCTTGCTCTAGGGGCAGGTCCAAAAACCCATGGTTCCACACCACCTCTATCTGGAGCAGCTGCCTGGAGACAATTTGGAGATGTTACACTGACCTTGAATCGGCACTTAGAGGGACACCAACCAGTCTTCCAGATCCCATGGTCCATGACCAGTTGCCAAGCTCTTTTTCACAGCTACGTCATTTGGTGGTGTAGGTAAAAGCGACTGAGTGCATGTAATGGATGAGTGGTATGATTGAGGCCCATTCCGATGTGTATTTCATGCAGGATGAGAATTCCAGATACATTTTTTGGCATTCATTGCAGAAGAAAGTCACCTGCGTGGGCTGAAGTGAGACATGAAAGACGACATGTGCAGAGCTCGTCATTTAAGTCCGTTGGATCCAGGCTCAATCTCCCATTCCAAGCAAACCCCTTCCCCCCCTTTCCATGAAGTCTTACCTTGTCTCGCTTGGCCCCCCGCAGAGGGAAGAAGCAGGCGAAGAGGAACTTGCCCCAGCTGACGACGGCAGCCAGGCACCAGTTGAGGCGAGCCATGCCTGCGTCTGTCCCGTCTCGTCTGCCAGCCTCTTATCTCTCCCCTTGGTGCCGGGATAGGATCCTGCAACCCCCCCTGGTAAAAAGAACGATGTCAAACGGAAAAAGACCCCGCAGAGAAAGGAGACCCTCTTGTCCTACTCCGTGGAGCACAGTTGAAAAGCGTCAGACGACGACTGGGGTTTTGTTTTCCTTTCAGTTTTTTTTTTGGGCAATTTTGGCAACCTGTCTGGCTATGTGTCTGCAATTCCAATTTGAGGGGGGGCTGGTGTGAAGCTACTGGCGTCCCACAAATGGACTAGACCTTTGGACAGTCTAGAGGGACCCGAAGCGTCAAGAGCCTAAAACTGTCTTCCTGCCATCCATCTGTCTTTCTTTCTTCTTTCGTCTCTTCGGTCTCCACAGCCCGGTGTAGATGAGTCAGTCCTCAAAGTGTGATGAGCACCGTCGGCTGCATAATGCGAAGAGCCCGCTGCTGATCGACGACACTGTTACACACACACGCACGCTGGCATGCCCCACACTCCCAGTCTCTCACACACATTCACGCACATGTACGCTCGCCTGCAGAAGAAAAACAAAAAACGCTGTCCTGGCACATACATCCACAGGCAGAAGAGCCCCCCTCTCGTCACACGGTTCCCCTCCAGGCTCAGGATCCCCGGTGCTTGGTGCTTACACACTCCGCTTACACACACTCATCTCTCTCGCTCTCTCTCTCTCTCCTGCTCTCTCACACATACACACATGCACTGATGCTGCAGCACTTACTCAGCCAGCGCGGGAGGAGGGGAGCAGAAAGAGTGAGGGGGGGGGGGGGGGGAGAGAAAGGACTGGGAACATAACGGTTGAAGGAAAAAGATGGAAAACAGAAGGGGTTTTTTTCTGCTGAGAATGACAGATTGAGTGTATTCATTGAGTGTTTGTGTTTCAGAGTTGAAGTCAGTGTCGGCGAAGGAGAAGATGTGCGTATGAGCGAAAGTGCGCATCAAGTAGTGTGTTCACCGGGAGAGGTGGAGGAGCAACAGAATGGGCTGAAAAGAGTGAATGGAGGAGTCAAGATGGATGGATGACAGACATCAGGAGAGAGGGAGAATTACAAAAAGGGAAAGTCGCAGGGGGAGAGGCGGGAGGGGGGGGAATGTGTTTGAGAACACTGATGAACACACACACAGCAGCATGCGCAACATACGCACACAAGCGGACACGCAGCAGCCGTCACGGTGCAAGGCGGATACAAGGCAGGCAAGGGGTGAGATGATTGTAGTGTGTGTGGAGAATTGGGTCGAAGGGAGAGAAGGAGGGAGGAGAGAAAGGAAGGATGGAGGATGACAGAAGAGGAGAGGAGCGGGGTGTTGAATCATTGTGTCTTGGGTGATTATTTCCCTCGCACACACACACACACACACACACACGCGACTGCAGGTGGTGCACAGGCTCGTTCGCTGTGCTGCAGTCTCTCTACGCTTCAGTGGGAGCACATTTTCACTGCAGAACGCTTTTCTCTGCTATACCCCCCCCCCCCCACCCCCCACCACCACCACCACCATCTCATCCCCCCCCCAACCCCTCCCGCCCGGCACACCATCGCCACACCAACGCAATCACAACACATCAAAGCAATGAGCGAGGGAGATAAAGTGTAGAGAGGATGCTGTTCTGTCAACCCCGAGCTAGCTAAGCCAAGGGGGTGGGGGTGGGGGTGGGGGAGGGAGGGTGTTGAGGGGGGGAACATAACGCAAAATTGTTTGGCCGTATGAAAATGCGATGGCAAGAAAAAAGAAAAAAGAAAGAAAAAATTACAAATCTTTCCATTGACAGAGAGCTGCTCCCATTAGAGTTGCTCTTCATATTTCCATACGTTCTGAAATCAGCATTCAGTGCACATGTCAGATATAAACACAGTGCATCATCTATCCATGTGTGCCTGTATGAGATGGAATCATGCGACAACAGTCTATGTTTCTCGAAAACGATGCATTTGCAGATATGGAGATTAATTGCATAAAGTGTCATTTATTAATATTTGTTAATACATGGTCATCAATAGCTCCTATGCTGCGTTGTTGTTTACATGCGTCAAGTTCTCGCGAGAATTGATATATCTTATATACAAAATCAGCGCCACAGTATTGCCCTCATACTATATTTTCCCCTGATGTTGTTCACACACACTGGTCGGAACAGCTTTTCATGTCCCGAGTGGACTTGATTTATTTGTCCCGCAACTTAAGTGATGTCACTTCAATATTTAATTCTATCCAAACGACAATCTTTTTCTAAACCTAACCGAGTTCTTTCCTGTGATTATTGGAAGTATTTTGAAAGACTGTATGCATGTAAGGATTGGTAACTACCAAAGAGGAATCTAGACCTTTAGGACACGTCTTTCATGAATATAAAAAGGTATGAAATATAAAAGTAGAGGGCTAAGAGGTCATTACGTACCACAACCAATCAACGGCTGGACATTCCTGTTGGTACAGTACAACCCAAAGTCAGGATCCCATTGGAAAGAACGGCTGGGTTGTTGTATCACATCACTTGCAACAACTGTGATGACATTGGTCAAACGGCCAGGACCCGAGGGAAAAGCCTGACCGAGCGACGGAAACAGAATCCACAGTTTGCAAATAAACACCACGACTGGTCACAGCACGTCCGCAGAAAGATCAAGGAAGACATTGGACACCAGAGACTCTCTTTCAAGGAATTCACGACCACCAGTTAACACATGACCAAAATCCTGAATGAGGTCTTATAATTACACCTAAACAAGTTCCAATCCAGTCAGAAAGCCATGGGGTAACGTCTTCAGGACTACTTAATCAAGTCAAGTGAGTCAGTCAGTTTAACCCTCCTATTGTCTTTGTTTCCCCCCCCCCCCCTTACTTTGGTGTTTGCGGTCAAATTTGACCGGTCCTGCATTAACACAAAAACCATTAATCATCACCAAATTCCGTTTAACACCCTTTCAAACTGTAAATATTGTATCAGACTACTAGTATACATGAAAAACTGCAGTAAATATACAAAGAATAGACACTGAACATGTATTGTGTGTGCCAGGTGTGATCCATGTGGGGGGATGGGCACATAAGAGCGGGAAATGTGTCAAATTGTTCTGTGCAAGCCAGGTGTGATTCACATGGGGGGAGGACACATCTAGAGTGTGTGTGTGTGTGTGTGTGTGTGTGTGTGTGTGTGTGTGTGTGTGTGTGTGTGTGTGTGTGTGTTTTATCTGATCTGGATGGTTACTAATTCCTTTTCTTTCTTTCTTTGACCGGGAACACCATGGGTGTTACAAAGTTGACTAAATCATCCAAAATTCAATGAAAGTGGTGATCAGCAATTTATATGTTCAATTGTCTACTGTGAAGGATATCATAAAGCCTTAATGCAATCAAATATAAAACAAAAAAGTTATGATTGATGAAAGTAGTAAATCGGTCAGATTTGACCCAAAGACAACAGGAGGGTTAATCTAAAATATCACCAATTTCACTCAATGGGCTTTAGAAAAAGAATAAATAATCTTCAATGGTAAAAACTGAAAAATAAACTTCACAAATAACAAGAATCCTTCTCCCAGAGACTGAGATTTACGCAATTAATGTTGAAGAATAGATAAGCGTAAAATCAAAGTATGACAAGGCATGCCTATCCCATATAGAATGTTTACCACAGATGGGATCATAGAGTTAAAACAATTCCTACAATTACTAAATCCCTTTTAATGTAGCAATTCTAGCAAAGGTATGTGATTACTGTTTAATTACATTACATTGCATTTAGCTGACGCTTTTGTCCAAAGCGACTTACAATAGGTGCGTTCGACCAACAAAATACAAACTTGAAGAAAACAGAATCATATAAGTACATCAGGTTTCATAGAGCAAAAACATTTCAAGTGCTATTCAATGATTAGCAATGCATGCCGGCTGGTGTACAGAGGCTACTGTTTACTACAAAGGTTGACGGATGATGTCAGTGTGATGTTGATGCAAAATGGCAACTCTATAGAAAGAATCTCTCGCTGTCTGAGTCTGATGGTCCAACACCATAACCTGACGTTTTAGATATGGCTGCTATAGGAAAAAATAAATAATCTAAGTCACCTCACATATCCATGCTTGGGTAGGGATGAGAAAAAGGCAAATGGGCCCAGAAATGCAAAGCAGACAGTGGGTTTTACCTTTATGTCAACATTATTAATGATATCCTGTAGACTCCTTTTACACTGAACCGCCTCCCTGTTTTATTTTACAACACATACAGTATATAGCATATGATCGTGGGAAGGTATTTCGTCAGCAAGAGGACATTTGTGTTTCGCAGTGGAACGAGGAATAGGGTTTTGTCCTGCACAGTTTCCTGCAGCAGTGTGTGCTGTACATCTCAGTGTGAGACTGGGCTTGTGTCCCACTCTCTTGGCAATGCGCTGACCTTTCTCATTAGGCATAAGCAACTTGCATAATCACTGCTGACTTCTATTGACTGGCCTGTCACACTGCCTATCCGTTTGACTGGAAACCCCGTGAAAAAGTGCCGGCTGCCAAAATAACTTCTCCCTCAATGACTTTCCCCTGTCATCTGCAGCCGGATCAGAATCTATCATTTTTCATCGAGTGCACAAAAACAGGGGATTTACAACGTTAGCTACTTATCCTCTGCACCAATTGTCTACCAATATTTATCCAATGTCAGCTCTTTTCCCTTCTGTCCAAATATATGCACTGTTTGAAATATTCACAACCTTATTCAGAGATTAAATATTGCCCGTTAATGTTGTAATGTTGTAAATATTGCTTATAATGACCCTTCTGCAAGTTCTAAAGCACTTGCACACAAAGTGATGTACATTTTTCATCACATGCAAACAAAATCTGAGTACATCTCAAGTTAATGCTTTTCACAACAATGACGGTTATTCATTTACATACTATTAAACTTCTTGTTGATTCACTGTAGGGAACAACAGATTAGTTGGCAGTTATGTAAAGTTATGTTGCAATATCTTTCTATATGTTTATAGTCTATTGTGAGTATATATTTACCTTTTTCCGTTACTGGATATAGGTTCTTTAAATGAATGTCCACCCTGGGAATAATAAACAGCCACTACTACTATAGTAGTGTTGCCACATCAGCAGGGCTGAGTGGAAAACATTTAATGAGCTAATGTTGTCCCAACTGTATTTAAAGGGGTGGTTTGTCATTTTGGGAAATACGCGCTTATTGGCTTCCTTGCATAGAGTGATATAATATGATAGATACCACTTTAACACCTATTTTAAGGCCTAATATGTAGACATTTCGGCATTGATTTTTAACGTGAAACTGCTTAATTCAATGTTTTTTTCCCTCTGTGGATGAATCGGCTACTTCTAAAATTATGAACAATGAAGGGATTCCTACCAGGCGGCAATGCTGTTTAGAGATGTTACGACCCCCTCCACTCCCCTAGGGGTCTCTGCCTTTGTGTTCTGCTTGCTGGCTCTTGTTTGTGTTTCAGCTGATCAACCTGATGAGCCACACCTGGGCCGTCGATATAAAAGGCCAACACCAACCCATACTGCCCTCTCACTCTTCTGTTGGACATGGCCGCGTCTTTGTTTCTGCACATTTTCACACTCCCATACACGCAATCATTACTGATGACTGACTTCCACATTTGCTTAGGTTTCTTTGAAGTCCTTTGGTTTAGGTTATAGTAAATAAATACGCTTGTTGTTACACTTAACTTGTCT